TGAAGGGGAGAAGATGCAGAGATTAGGAGATGATGTGATTGTATGAATAGATCAAGGGATTGAAACTAAACAAACTGGTGAAGTTCAGGGTTCTGGTGAAGAATTCAATTAAAGTCAAAGACAGATTGAACATATTGTATTGGTGGATGAAACTGGTTCAACGGTTGAAAAGCCTGAGGATGCAGCAACGAGGGAGTCATTTATTAAAGTGGTGAATGATATGTTTGAAGATATCATTTTCATCCATTCAGATGAGGAGAAACCAAATGTTGAACAAACTGTACATACTAGGTTAAAAATTAAAGATGAAGTTGAAGACTTGATCTCATTCTCTTATCAAGATTTTGTGGAGTTTAGTGAATTTGAAGCAGATGATGTAGTATCAATGCTTGAACCATCTGTCAAAGAAACTGTACTTGTACATACTGAACTCATTGATATTGAACATGTACATATTGAGCCTTCTATAATCCAACCATAACAACAGCCTGAATCCTCCAGTGTGTCAAAGATAGCAGTTGTTAAACAGGCAAAACAGATAATAAATAGGAAATGACAAGGGTGAAAACTGTATTTTTGGAAGATAATGAAAAGCAAATATATGACAAACGCTTAAGAGAGTTAGATCCGGTGAAAGTTGTAGGGATTACAAACTACAACAAGGATTACATCACATAATATATGTATATGCTGAAAGCCTGGTGCCAGAAGAGAGAATATGTTCACTCCAAGAAGAAGATTGTAGTTATGAAAGAGATTTCTGTGAGAAAGTTTTGGAGACTGTACTATCCGATATTCAAGGTTGTTAGACAAGATATGAAAGATGGTTGTTCTCTGAAGCAGATTTCACAAATCTTGAGTTACAAGATTCTGAATGGTTGTATCATGAGATAAGAATAATCATTAGGCCTCAAGATGTCATATTGGCTCTGAATGTTGTAAAAAGGTTTATGCACAGTTAGGCAAAGTATTCATTGGTAACTGGTTTTTCCAGATAGACGTGGAGAGTAATCAGGGAAAAGTCACTTTGATGTTGCCTAATCAAAGATTGCCAGGGATTGAAACCTATCCAACTTACTTGATTCTGGAAGAGCCTGAGTTTGGAATTGTATACGTGAATAAACAGAAAAACAAGTGCTTCTTAAGATTCAGTGAAGTAGCAAAGTATTCTGATGGAATGTTGAAACATATAAGACAAAAGCTTAATGCAAAGTTGGATGAGGATAAAAAGGCAAAAGTAAATATGAGTAAGGTTGAAAAAGATCTAGTTGTCAAGTAGTTGAAGCTGTTCAAGATAGACTTAATTATAGGAATGACATCAGGAGGATAGAAACTCATTTGGGCTTAAGGAAGAAAATCAGATGGGATACTTGATTACAAAAGGGGGAGAATGTTATATTTGATTTTGTATCAAATAGAAGGGTTAAAATGTAATTGTACTATTTTCTAGTGGTAGTATAAATAGCTTTAGTTCCTTTATAAATGTAACTTTGAGCTTTCATTTCTACATATTGTATTGTCAACTCTTTCTCTCAATCAATACATATACATTTGATGACATCTTGAATTGTTGAATCTTTACATTGTTATAGCTTGATTTGGATTTAATAATTTGTTTTTGTGTTCGATTGAATTGATATAATAGTAGTGATCATAGAAATAATGAAAGAAATATTGAAGACATAAGTACTGACGGTGCGGTAGTGGATGATCGAGGAAAAAAGGTCAATTGAGGGGAATAGGTGGTGGTGGAGGTTACGTTTGAAAGGATTCTACATCATCATAGATACCAGGTAATCATGTTGTGGGAATACCAGTAAAAGAAAATATTGAAGACATGTGTACCTTGGTACGGGAATGGAGGATCGAGGAAAAAAGGTTCAATAAGAGGAATACATGGTGATGGAGGCAATACTTGCAACTGTATGGTAGATGAAACTAGATCAAGAAAAGGAGGTCCAATAAAGGATCACATGTTACGTAATTCAAGGGTAAAGGTCCAATAGGAGAGGTTCCAGCGATATTAGCAGAGATAGTTGTAATTCTTTGGGCATTCTGGTAGAAGCTCAAAAGTTCTTGATTTGTTTTTAAATTTTGCTCATTCAACTGAGTAATCTGTCGTCGAGAAACTTCCAGTTCTGCTTGCATCTTAGCCACAATATTTTGATCAAAACCTTCAATCAACATATTAGTAAAAAAGTTCTGCAAAAAATACGTTAGTAAGACCTTCTTGTTTTGAAGGAAGTCTTTAGCGGGGTCCCACAGTGAGCGACAAACTATTTATGCCAAAAATTGCACAAGGCAATTTAAGGTTGGATCGTGAAGCTATCAACTATGGATTGAATCTTCGAGGCAACAAACAAAAGAAAGAAATGACACAAATAATTTTGGTGATGCAAAAACCCCTGTAAAAAACCACAGACGATCGTAGTTATCGTCAATGCACTATGGACGTCAATAAGGAATGTCTTCCTTAATAACTATTGTCGCTATTACAAAAACGTCGATAGTAACTTTAATTCTAGTAACCGTATGAGGTCAATTGAATCTTGGTCGTTGGTTATAATTTGTGCACTGATGTGTAGATCCTCTCATTAATTTTCGGTCACACACAATTACCAATAATAAATATAAAAAGTAATATTGTCATTGTTAATCAAATAACCAACTATTATTGTTACTAACGGTAATCGTTGGGGATATCACTGTCGTGGATATTATCATAGTCGGTCGCTATTATGGGTTTTTCACCAAACCAAACACCATTTAAATACCAAATAGGTGCTCCTTTCATATACCAAAATAGTAATCGAGTGAGAAGTACTATGGGACCCTGTTCGTTCCTTAGTAGATAAATCCCTAATTAAAAAGACCAATGACCTCTCTCTTGATGGTCAAGATAGATGGTGGAGGAGGGGTACATCAAAGAAGATGGTAGTGGTGTAGGGGAAGGGGTGGTGAATGAGGGGTGAATTTGCATTAGGGTGTAAACGATCCGAGTTAAGTTGAATAGTAGATTATTCTAAATTATCCCTTCCCCCTTCTTTATCATTATCCCGCAACCTAAATGGATAATAAATGGATAAATTGATTGGGCCGAATCGCAGCATAGAAATTGATTTGATTGATCTAAGTTCATAGAATTTATYATTTCTTAATATTTTCGTTTGGTCAATCGTTGAATAAAATCAACTGAAACGGGGAATCATTCTATAGAAYATCCTTTTTTTATTTAATCACACGCCGTAATACCACAAGGCTTCTTCGTCAAATTACGACTCCGAATAGTTATTTGGATTCGATGACCAATCTAAACCGAATATTCATTGAGGGGAAGGTATGATTATGATATAAATGGACCAAACGAGAATTTTAGGAAAGAGATCTTTCATTTATGAGATTAACATCTATCATATTTGATCAGGATATCATTGTAATATACTAAAATGATTATTATATTATTTAAGAAAATTAAATAATGTGGATGAACTAAAAATATATTCTTCAACAAAGCTATAACTCAATATTTTGGAAAAAGATTGACCTCCTTTACCAAACCTATGACCAATTTGATTGGTCAACATTTTAAGCTAATCAAAGCTTGATGGTTAGCTAACAAATTTTGACATGAAATCAAACATGATATTGGTTTTTAATTATTTAATGTTTTGGGCAGGGGCGGATGCAATAGCAAAAGGGGAAGGGATCTCCGTCAAAAACTCAAAAAAAAATCGTAGGTTAAAATTTAGGTTTTACATGATTTACCTTTCACTTCCTCCCATTACATTTTTCCACGGGCCCTTAATCCCAATCGAAACCGTTACTCTAATAAAAAAAAACCTATTGAAATCAATCAAAAAAACCAAAAAAGGTATTCGAAATCGACAAAAACACTAAAAAATCCCTCAAAATCAACCAAAAAATTTTAAAAATCCCTCGAAACATTGTAATTAGATTAAAAACACATCGGATGATTTTGCGGGCCTTTAGTCTATCTTAAAGGTGACCCCACTGAACAAAAATCCTGGATTCGCCGTTGGTTTTGAGCAACCACCGCCACCAGTTAAAATCAATGATCATGCTTGATTATGTTCCAACCAAATTTGAGAAAAAATCAACGTGATATGGTTTTTTTTTATATTATTTAAAGTAATTTATGTTTTTGAGTAAATTACATTTTTTATTTTTGTAGTTGTCATTTATCATCAAAGTCTAGTATATTTTTTAAATTAATTACATTTTTTATCATCATGGTTGTCATTTTGTTTCGCTTCTATTTCATGTGACTAACGGTTTTAACAAGGTCCATGAATTTCAGGACGTTTTGTTATTTTTCTCATTTATATAATTTTATATAAAAAATTAAACAAAAATATTATTATAGTATGTATACCCACCCCATAATAATCTTCTCCAACCACCTCAATATATATGGGTTTTTGAGTCAAACAACATTTTCGTAACCCCTTTCTTCTTGCGCACATACCATTCAATGCTCAGTTATGTATGTGTTTGTCAGAAGTATCATGGTTGTATGTGGGCGTGTATACAAGATATGGCACGTGTAGAACCAACATCATAGATCTCAACAATAGAATACACAAAGAGCTTGAGTTTGATCTTTTTTCCTTTTGTTTGTTGTATTACTGGAGTTGTTTGAAGTTTGCTTTAATGGTGTGTGTATGTGCAACATAAAAAGGAAGTGACCAATTTGTTTTGGTTTTAATTTTTTTGACAAGATCTAAATAGACCTAGACTTGGCGTATGTATATGTGTGAAAGGAGAAAGGGGTGTCGAAAATGTTGTTTGATTACAAATGCAAGTTTCCAAACACATCTTTTAAATATAAGAATGCGACTAAATTTATCAGAAGATTACACTCTTAATAAAATTCTCATGTAACGTTACTGAGCAAACTAATCCTTACGTCATGACCCCCGGCACACGAAAAGAGTGTGAAAAAGAAAGCCAGCGTTAAGAAGCCAAACAAAAGAAAACAAAGAACGAAAAACCGTTTTTTATTAATTATATGCGGACCCCAAAACAAATAATGAGGAGCATTTATACAAGAAGATGGATTTTCGGATTGCGATAATCTCCTAAGAACCAACATTTTGCCCTGTTTTACAGTCGCATATTATGCATAAAACATGAAGTTTCCAAACACTCGGACTTTTGATAGACCTTGCATTTGGGGGCGATATACCCAACGCCTACTTCCAAAAATTAGGACAAAAAAAGGATTAAAAACGTGGCAGGAAGCTGTTACCTGCACCTGCTCTCTAGTCTTCAAGCTCGATAATTTTAACAACGGAAGCATCTCCGACTTTTTGACAAACCACGACTCGATCATGTGACTTGATCACTCCGGAGGTCTTTCCATGGTCAAGTGCGACTTTTAGGACCGACTCATTTGTTGCACTAGTGGATTCCGCCTGAAAGTAATGTGGATTAAACCAGAGTATCGTCAAAATAATACTCGAAATTGTTTCACTAGAAATATAGCCTAGCATCAAGGATATATATGGAAGTAACAGAAATATGAACCCTAGCAGTTTCTATTGCATGATATATTTTACCATTCAATGTGAAGCAAACAACTATAGTCCATCGAGGCAAAAGAAAATAAAAGAAAGAGGAATTTAGTTACAAATTAAGGCGTCTAGACCTACACCTCGAGTCCTTGACTAAATATTATGAGTCCCTGAAGTTAACAATCAGACAAACCCTCAGTCATCTCTAGGGAACTTGAACTGATGCCCTCTAGGGAGTGAACCTAAAGTGTTACGAGTTGAGCTCCCCATCAGGTCAACGTAGAGAGAAGTTTGTTGACCAAAATCGAGGTCAATAATATCTTGGTGTTTGTAAGGTAAAGATATACAAATTTTAGCCGCATGCAGGGAGACATGCGCGTACGGTTTTTAGGGGGATCTGGTCGAAAGATAGAGAGTCCCACATATGAGAAAAGGTCACAAATAGAGTTGAACCAAGTAACATTTCAAAGGCATAAGATAGTAGGGTCGGGATAATGAAGATCTATAGCCCCATCGATTGCTATCTGTATAAGTGTGCAACCCGGTGATAAATAAAGCATCCGGGCCCCTTTTGATCTCTCAGAAATTGGGGGGGGGGGGGGGGGGGGGGTTGGTAGAGCTCCGCTCTTGCAATTGGGTCGTTGCGATTATGGGTTGGATGCCCAGTCTTCTATCTCAGTCTCAGCAGAAGGTAAGAGGAAGGGTCATTCCCTCTTTCCTTCGGGAAGGGCGACCAGGCCAGGCTGAGTCGGAAAGGCTTTGATGACTCAAGGTTCAATTAAAACCTTTACTAGAATGAAACTTTCGCATTTCTACGGGACAACTTGAAATATTGCTGCTTTTTATTTAGAATGGATGGAGTATGTTCTTGTTTCCACAGAAATTTCAAGAGAATTAGCAATAATATCATAAGAACGTTTTGAAACTCAAAGGCTAGGGCTCCATTTGCCCTGTTTTTTCTACCTTCTTCTAGGTCCTATTCACATTTTCTTTCTCCTTGCATTAGAAAGCTAGGTGTGTACCCGAGCAATGCAACGAGATATAAAATTTTACTGTAAACCGAGAATTGAAAATTAATGTGAATCCTTAATAAAAAAGAATATCCGAAATGAAGGAGTATTCTGTCGTATTAGTAAGGCTCAACATTTATCTTGTTTAAACATTTTTATGAGTTGACTTTATAAAGTTCAAACATGGAACTTTATAAAGTTCAAACATGGAGCTTTAAAAAGTTGTATGTATGCAATAATAAGTTGTAAATTTCAATTTTAAGAGATTCTACATCAATAACTAATTGATAATGGTATGTTGTGTTTTAAGAGGAGTTCTTACCAAACGTTTTATAGCATAGCATAGATAGGACTTGCAAGATAAAAAAAGTCCATTGGAAAAGAAAAACTTGAAAAGGAGAAGGAATAAAAGATTAAATATGTTTTAAAGCTAAAACAAGCATAATAGGGTAAGAACTTACAGGATGTCGAGGATCAGCAAGCATGGGGAAAAGACCTCTGACGATGAGTGATTGCCTTGCCTGCCCATTCATTTACATAATAAACAAGTCATTAGCTCAAATATCGAAGGAATGTCGGTTTCTTCAAAACCAATGTGGCACCAAGAAACCTAAGAGAAGCTCATCAATTGGAAAATTGCGAATGTTTTTACTCTTTTTGTAGCAGTGGATGTCCGAGGTCAGCTTGAGCTCACCTCGGCTAATCCCATGGGACCCATTGAAGTTTAAAACCGCGAAAACCTCCAATGGACCTAAGGGGGTCGAACCGGTCACTAATAGGGAACATACCCAAGGCCTGACTAGCTAAGCTACCCCAAGGGTTACAACCTCTAAATGTTGATGTCATGAGAACTGAAGTTGATAAAATAGAAAAGGAAATTCACCAAACTAGCCATTTTTGGCAGAAAAATTCAAATAGCCATTTTTTTAACAATCACCAAACTAACCAAGAATTGCACCTTTTTTATCTTTTGGTTAGATAGTGGATCATATGGCTTGGATCAATCCTAATTGAAGAGGTCCACTAGATCAACACTAATGAGAAGCACCGGATCAATTCCTTTCTAAAACGCAATTCATGGATTGGTTTGAGATTAAAAGTGATCAAGGGTTCAAATCCCTTCTCACACTTCTCACCTTAACTCATTCTCACATAATCCTTTGTCGTGGATCATAATCTCAGCCAAGAACCACCTTTTCTTATTCCGTGTCTATTTGCAGAATCACGGGCTATTTCTTGATGATGTTTTAAAAAACGATTATTTGATGATTCTTTTTTTGCTCAAAATAGCTAATTTTTGGTGATTTTCCCTAAAAACAATGGGCCTTGGAGCAACTCGTAATGTTACCCCTTTATTACCAAAAGGTAATGGGATTAAGTCATGGAATGAGCCTACTTCAAGAATGTAAGAGAAATATTGCATAAAGGCTTCTAACCACAACCCTCACAAAGCGAAGGAGATTTAGTGCACCAGTTTACTCTTTAGAGGCGCAACAGCAAAAATGATTTCCCATAGAATAGCAGGAACAAGGTGTTGCTAATAGATGAAATATGTCATGAGTATATGTTTCAATGAGAATCACTCGACCCTTCACTGGAACATGCACCAACTTCCTCTTCAACTATAATGGTGCGTTTGGTACAGGCAGGACTGAACTAGATTAGTTGTCTATCTTTTTTTGGTATGCCAGGGCAGGACTGAACAAGTTGTCTATATAACGTTTGGTAAGCTCAACAAAACAGGACAAAAAGTTTAAATGACCAGATAGTCGTTCAAATGATGTTTAAGGTTTTTATTATATAATATATCAAATGAGGGTGGGCTTGTAATTTGCCTTCTAGTCTCATCCCCTTCTATTTTTCCGCCTATTTTGGTGCTGCCACACCAGACATGAGACAATGAGTGTTTATTCTGTCATCTCCCAAGGAATTATTTGGTTTATTGGTAGTACTAAATCATTCACTTTGCATGCTATCAGTAGAACAACCCACCTGCCCACTGCAATTTGGAGGGGGGTTGGTTTGCTGTTGCATTAAAAATACCATAAATAAGGGAAGCAGGCTTCTAGACAATATAACTTGTACCTCAAATGCGCCACTGAAACTCCACCGCAATTGATTAGTCTTTAGCCTGGGAATCACAACTGATATAACTGGCATCGTTGGCCTATACTTGGCAATCAATCTGCATTTAACAAAGAAATTAGATATCACATCTTGTTAGGTTGTTCAGCTGTCTTGTAATCCCCCTTTCGCCTTTAATGCCCCTACTTGTTTTAATCTTTTTTAATGTTGTTTACTGTGTGTACTTGCTCTACTACTTGGTTTTTATCTTTGAAATAGACCAAATAAGCATATCGTTTCATTCGAGATGGCTTAAAAAAAAACTGCACCACAAACAGGACAATATGTAAACAAGGAGGCAAAAGTAACAAAAGTCTGGCACGCATAGAGCCTGCAATAAATTATATATATACCTTGCAGCCCTTCCAGAAGACGTGAAGCAAATAATAACAGATGCCTTCACCTTAATAGCAGCACGTACCTAAGAAAAACATCTATATTGATCAGGTACTTCACTAATAAAACCAATTAACTGTGCAAACTCCGAGCAACATTTATTGGAATACCGCAGAAGAAGCAATTGATTCCAAGTGACTCATTGGTTCTCCAACATATTTGACAGTCTTCTTGAAGTACAGATCTTGATTAAAAACCTTCTCTGCCTGCAAGTAATATTCAAACATCAAGGTATTTCATCAACAAATGTTTGTGTCTCTAAGAAAACAGGTACAATCTGAAAAGTATTAAAATTTCTAAATCAATTAACACATCTTTCAGATGTTTTTTCCTTGTTTGTCTGTGTGTTTTGTGTGAGATAGCATACAATCCGAAAATAAAATTACATGAATTGGTTGAGATATAAGTAAGGGTGCGTTTGGTAGACATATAAGACTGGACAGGATTGGACGGAACTAGACTGGATAGAACTGGCCGAGAAAGAGTGGGTAGATGGGTGAAATTGTGGAAGGTAATAGGGTCTTAATTTGACATGTGTAGTTTAGTAATTCACCAATCCTATCTCATCTTCCCTAATCTTTGTTCCACCAATGTTGGTGGGACAAGAGAAGTGCATTTTTGTGCCACTCAGGCCCATCATGTCCATTCTAATGTAGGGTCAAACATGGGAGAACAAGTTTTTTGTTCTGTCCTGTCTCATCTTGTATTCTTGTCTCGCATAGTAAATGCATAAAGACGAATATGACCACATTTAGCGAGCAAAGTCACGTCTCCCAGTCAGAATTCAATCTTGGAAAGAAATCTTAATCCCAATTAATGAGAGATGTTACCTCAGCACAAATTTTACCAACAATGGATATTGTTTCAACAGGGTATAATCCACGCAGGGTCTCGGCACCAAGAAGAATTGCATCACTTCCTGCAAATTGTGAAATTAAATATCAAGGACCCAGATTTTTCGAAGAGCATGTAAACTAACGGATGCCACCTTACCGTAAAACTAGAAAATGCTTTGATGATGAGGGAATAAGCAAGATTCCAGATCATATATAATTAATACCAACAGAAATAAATTGTATGCGAACCTCAAACTGATCTAGAAAAATGGACAACAGGGCGTAATTACAAATGAACCCATTACAGTTTGAACAAGCAACTCACCATCTAACACAGCATTAGCAACATCAGTTGCTTCTGCACGAGTTGGTCTTAAATTGTCGGTCATGCTATCTACAACACGTGTAACCACGGCTGGTTTACCAGCCATATTACACTTGTAAAGAGCAGCTTTCTGGAATAAAAACACCTGCAAAAAGATTTATTGATCAAGTAAAGGCAGAACCTGAACATAGAAACAGAAAAAGTCTGTGAGTTCCATTAAGAATACACGTTCTTTTTAATGGTTGTTTCCTTAAATTTCGTAGTTTTTAAGAAATAACGAATTGCACTCTCTTTATGCTCCACCAAATTGGTATATAGCAACGAGGGCAACCACGATGATGACAGAGTACCACACTCAACTTTAAATTGTAAGAGGTTGAAGGCTGATTTTTAAAATAATTTTATTAAATAAATAAGAAAATGATTTTTTCTTTTTGAAATATGATTTTTTTTGGGACAATGAGAGTTATAAAGTGAACTCTTTTTTCCTGGAAGAGGGGAGTACAAAACAATGAAGGAATATGCAGTTGAAAGACTATCATAAAATTATTTTGATCAAATGCAACTTTTAACATAAAAGATATCCAGAATTTTATTGCAAATAATCAAGGAAGATCATTTGATAGATGTGATTGTGTTACCTAAGAACGTCTAGAGTTTTTATACTTGAAAGAAGTTCAGAACACATGAATTGGATGTTCAGAATAAGGAAATTGATAAAATAAGACCGGAATGACATCAACAGAAGCACTTAAAGACCATGTTTTTATACATGATTGCTGATACATGCAATAAGACTGGTCAAAATCCATGGTCAAAACTGTCAAGATATCTAATATCTGAAAGACTGAAACTCTGACATATAATTTAAGCTCCAGAGGCATCAAATTTATTCAAATTCAGATTTGGATGTCTCGGCTTTAAAATTGGATTTGGACTTCATACAAACAAGGAGCGTGTATATACTATATGCATCACAATTTAGTTTGGATCATTCTAGATTATATGTGTATTATATTTATTATATATAAGCCTACATCTCTATTGTCTACTAATAGTATAATGTATCTCAACTTGGCTTGTGACCATTTTACCCCTATACCTTGGTAATGATTACAATTATTCATACTTTAAAAATACAAAGACAAATAATTTTTAAAAAAAAATACTAATATTACACAATAAATTTTCTTGAGGGTGTACCCTTTGTTATTTTATTGAATTATAGTTTTAACCTTTAATCAATTTAATAGGCTCTGTCAATTGTATCTTAGCAATTTAGTCAAAAGTTGAAAATGTCCTTGTTTCGGGATTTAGATTAGAATTCAGATTTTTTTAAAATTATCCCTTTGATTTGCTTTGCTTAACAAACTTGGACATTGAATTTCGGTATGCACTGATTTTCAAACTCAGATATCTGCACTTGATTCAATTATCATCTCATTACATGCTTAACCATTAACATTCATTCAGTTACTTTGCTGTCAACAAGAAGCCATTGTGTTTGTGGGTTCATTAAATTGAACTTGATCAATTGTCGTGTCACCAAGGACATTGTTGGTGGCAACCACATGGGAGGATGATGATGATGGTCAGTGCTTGGTTCTAGTTGGGTGGAAAAGAGAAAATGGGCATATATAATAAATTTCATGCACAAGGGAACGAAAAACAGCCCCTCCACTAGCAGTCAAGATAATGTGTTTTAAAGAATGGAGATCCCTTACGAACGGTCAATAGTGCATCAAACACGTTACACCAAAGATTAATACATTCCATTTGAAATGCATTTCCAACCTATTACAATGCAGCATAAGACTTCAATGATATCATGGATAAACCTTTGGTTATACTTTTTGGGATTTATCTTCACTTTGTTTAGGCTCCTTTTAGTAAAACATGTCACAAACTTAAAAAAATTGAAGTTTCTGGACGGAAAAACATGCACACCAAGAAATTTGGACCAAAGAAAGGCACACCGACCAAGAAGTGTAGACATGTGCAATGCCAAAGGAACAAAGCAATTCAAGTTCTCTGGACAAGAAACATGATGTAGACCTACACAGCTACACTTGAGAGACAAGGATTGACTCAATAAAAACAAACCAAATGTATGCCCAAGTTTCTTGATATAAAACATTATTCAAGACTTCTAGAGCAGTTGACATACACATAATCCAAGTTCTAATGTACAAGGAAATCCCAAATCACACAAAGAAGACATCTTTGGGAATCTATATAAGAACCCTTGGGCAGCCTTATACATTATACACATTACTTCAGCTTTGATCCTCAACCAGGATACCAAATAGAAGAGAAAAGAAAGAGAATTTGCTAGCTTAGTTCAAAGAGGAGAAACTGCAACATTCTCCTAGTGCAATTATTCTTTCATCACCAAAAAAGAGGCATTCAGGATCGTCGAAACTTGTGAGCGAGGATTGCAAAGTAATTAACACATCGAGGACCATTTTTCTGCCATGTGGTTGCTCATTTGTTTGTTCTCTTGTATCCCTGTTTTGGTTACTTCTAGTTCTTCTTGTCATTCTCGGACTTCCAAGTAGACTTGCATTTAGCCAATAACTTTTATCATTAAGTTGATTAACCTCTGTTTGGATTAATACATCAGTTTTGATCTTTGATTTGAAGTTTAATATTCCTTCATAATTCTTTAAAGCATTTTATTCAATTGCCATGAACGATTGATTTTGATTGGTTGCTTGCATAATTTGTTTGCTCTCTAACTTAATCTAAGGTTTTGGTTACCAAAGTAACCTAAATTGACAGGCAGATGATTAGTATGAGCAGTTCTAATTGGCTTAGCATGACAATGGAAGTTTGTTCTTAATGCTTCTTGTTTGAGAAAGAGACTTTTTCCTTGATCAAGCCATTTATTCCAGGAACCACACCATACTTTGACCGTTAAGGGTTAAACCATATTTTTAATCCGTAAGTGTTTCCGATCCGATTTAAATAAATTGCTATCCCAACTTGTCTTTTATCTTTACAAGCACCCACTCATCCATTGAGTTCCAACCTTCATTAAGTTGCATGGTCAACATTCATATCTTGCATATTGCATCATAGTAATAGCTTCACTTAGTAAGACATAGCTAAAGAACCTGAGGGACCAAAATCAATTTCACCAACATCTTGTAATGATTGTTAATGGATAAATTTGTAAACTCAGATAAGGATCTTGCTAGTATAATCCCAACTTTTTAAACAGAAAAATCTTAATTACAAAAAGTTCCTACTCAATTGAACACTTAATAGAACCAACCATTAGAAATATAATATCCCTTGTCGCTCTGGCCTTGTGGTCACCATTATGCTACAGCCCAAAAGTACAGACAATAAGTAGTTGCAAGGCTGATGAACTTCCCTAACATCAACCTATTTCTCATTATAAGTAGACAGAGGCCCTTTTTTAAGAAAATCCAGAGAATTGTTTAGTAACATTCCTCTTCCATTCAATTCCTCATCCAGAGGACCCACAGAAACTAACTGCCACATAAATTGATTCCTTCTAATTTGTGCCTTAAAACAACAAACCTGTAAGGCATATGTTAACTGCTGATTCCTTCTAATCAGAGCAAGGATCTTACTCTTATCTTTCAAGTCTCGCCTACCACTACCGGTTCATGAGCATGAATGTGGTGAATGTGGCTTGAAGAATCACAGTTTTGGCATTAGTGTGTGGAAGAGACTACTACTACACAGCTTAATGCTATTATATCTTCTGCTAGATAAGACATGTTTCCCAAAAAGCTGGTTCGTAGAAAAAAGATTACTCGACTAAACTTGATATAACTTACTTTTTCTGGTGGAAGATCAATGCCAAGATTTCCACGGGAAAGGATAATACCATCTGCCTCTTGCAGGATTTCATCAAAGTGAGTCAAACCCTGTCAAGAAAATGAAAAATCCATACTGATAACCTCCAACAAAACTCAACTATTAGTAATGGGGCTTAAATTTAAAAATCAAGCACCATCCAAAGCAAAGACAATCACCTCTATGTTTTCAATTTTTGCAAATATTTGGGTTTGACTAAGATCACCATGCTTAGAAAGAAATTCACGTGCCTGCATTTGCAAATAAAATGATTAAAAGTGATGATGGAAGATCAACACACAGATAATAAATAGTGAACATAAAGGAAAAAGTGTAGTACATGAGTGTTAACAAGATAAAGACATCAATAAAAGTAAAAGCACACTTACTTCACGAACGTCTTGCGCATGTCGTGTGTATGATAATGAGAGAAAATCAATTTTGTTTGGAACTCCCCATGTACTGATGTTCTGAAATTAGAAAAGGCATAATCAAGAACACAATTCCAACTTACTTTAGGGTCCTGAATTTTAATCATCTGGTTAACTTTCTAATTGACGATACATACAGAATTTACATAAATAGAACTATATTTCAAAAAGTATTATAATAGCAATGAAACCCCACAGCACATGAAGGGAATTGTCATATAAAGACGGAAAGAATCATGCATTTAGAGACTAGTACTACCATTACACAGATCTAAATATGCTAAAACCTGCTTTTGATAACAGGACCACACAACACCTGCTTTTGATGACATGACCACACCACTAGAAAGAAACCTTCAATGAGCAATACGTTGTTTCTTTACATCTCAAGAAACTAGAAAAAGTACAGCGCCTTTTCAACTTGCCAAGTGATAATTTTCTGATGTGGTACTTGGTAGGTACAACAAAATAGATTGATAACAAACTCCTATTGTAAGGTACACACTGCACACTCTTCATACAGGGATGGTAATTAGTTTCACGACATAAATGAGGAAGAACTTAAAACCCACTTTATTAAAAAAAAATGGAACTTAAAGACAAAAATATATTAGTAGCCAGTTTGTTGCAATGGAGTTCAACGATAAGAAAACTGGTTCAACGTTTCTAGCAAACATTGATGACCCACCAGTAAGGGCCCTATCATGACTTGATTATAAGTTTATAGCCCAAAAAAAAACTCTTCATAAGCTTTTGAGACAAATTAGCATCAAGGAGTAAGAATTGATAAGTTGAACCTTAACCTTAAGAATAAGCTCACCTCTTTATCCTTATCGGTCAGAGTAGGCAGATCAATATGAATTTGAGAGGCATGCAAAGTGAACAATGCCCCAGCCAGAGTTGCAGAATTCTTTATCTTGCAGATAACATCAGCCCCTTCGACTTTATCGACCTACTCAAAATCAATGTCCAGTCATAAATAAACCATGCTAAGTTCAGAACAAATTGTTTGCTTTCAGAAAATTTAGATTTTAATGTTTGTGTTTCTTTGTTTATAATGGATTGGGATAATAATTTTTTTCAACATCTAGGTTCAAGCTAGTTCTGACTAACATGCCCACATCTAGGTTCAAACTAGTTCCAAAATTCAATACTAACATGTGACTACATGAGTTACAACAAATGAGATGCTATGTTTACACGAAAGCTTTTGCTCTTACCTCCAGCCAAACAGAGGTTGTTTCACTTCCTGTGAACAAGTATTGACCAACAAAAATGGTGTCTCCTGCTTTCACAGCCTGCAAAGACCACATAAACAATCTCAATAAGCATAGAGGGACCTCTAGAAAGGCTCAAAACTACTTCCCAATAACTTTCTATGCTAAGCACACAACACATATATCAACCAAATCATAGAGGAGAGCACTACCTGCTTGTGAAGTATTAGGTTTAAAAGAAATTTTTGGTTTTTTGTATAATTTTTTTTGACAATTTTCCCATACACATCTGACTTCAGTCCATTTTCTAGTTATCAAGCAACGTAGATCATGATTTACATCAAACAAGCATGACTAGAGCATCTGACCTTGGCTAATCCGGGGAAGTTGATTGGCAGTAATTGAGAAGAAGCCTCCTGATTTTCATCAGGGGTCAGAATAACAACATCGTCCTGTTGAAGCGAAATGGCCTTCTCACTTTTATTGACTACCTGCATCTCAGCACCAACGGTGTCGAGCATTACCTGGATGTAAAAGCAACCATTAGAAGTATTAACGAGTATGATTACCTTGGTGCTGAATATTATCCAGTGTGCATCAGTACGATAACCATGTCATAACTTGATAACAACGATAAACTTGCATGACTAAATAACAATCTACAAGCATCAAATACAGCAACCAATTCTAAAGTGGCTCGGTAAATTACATCATTTGACCTATATTTGTGCTTTAAAAGGGTATTATAGGTATGAGTAATGAGCTGCACAGTGTTTTCCTGTTCTTCTTTCTCTTAGAATAAACCTTGGACATGGTCAAATATCTGTGAAAAGCGAGACCAACTTGGCCTTGATACACTTCACAATCAATTTGATCTTTATCAAAGTACAATAATTAAATAGAAGCAAAAAAGCAAATCCGATAGTACATTTTTTTCAAAAAGGCAAAATTTGATTTTCATCTACTCATAAATTATTGTCCTGATCAGTGAAAAAGGGGTAATAAAGAAAGAAGAAGAACATACAGCACAGAGCTTCTTAGTGCTCTTCACAGCAGCCTTCAGATTTTCCAAAGTCTCTTGATGATACTCAGAGTTTCCCCATGAGAAATCAAATCTAGCAACTGCCACATCCACAACAATCAAATCACCAAAAGAACACGTATCTTGAACAAAACACCAAATAAGTTAAGAAGTAATTCCCACTGATGCAAAATGAACAGAGTAACATGATGATTCCGCCTATGGAACAAATAACTTTTCTCACTTCAAAACTCACATTGATTCTAAGTTTTTTATGAATATATAACTGATTACTACATCGGACTCGGTAACAAGTGCTAAAAGATAGAAAATTAATGTTGCTGTTCAATTTGTAACAACATCCACATATATATCATTTAGAAAGTAGCATATTGCGCATAAAAAATCAAAGTATGGTTCTTCGTTTGTAAACAAGAGAATAGTAACAAGAACAGGATAAATCTTAAGCCAGCAACACAAATTCAAATTAATACTAAGCAAACACAGATGATTTTTTTTTTAAAAATAAGAAGATAAATCCATACCAGACATGCCAGCTTTGAGGCAACCGGAGATGACATCCACGGATCGAGAACGAGGTCCTAAAGTTCCGACGATTTTGGTCATCGCAGGAAAAAAACTCTACAACAGTGATCAAAATCATGAATTTTCAACAAAAACTAGATCCAAATAAGGCAAAGCATCAAGCAAGTGATAAATTACAAACAGAAAAACAAAAACGGATCCATTAACCGAAATAAAGAGAGTTTGTGTACTGACAGCTTTAGATGGCTCGAGGATGGAGGCCATCCTGATAGGTTCTTCAAGAAGCAAATGATTTGAGTGCATTTTGGGCGATCAGCAGCAGTAAATCTGGGTTGGAAGAGGAATTTTGCAGAGAGAGAGGGAGAGAGAAGAAAGTGATCTCAATGCACCGAGAGACCGACGGAGGAGAGAAAGAAGCCAAGGTGGCGTGAATAGGCCGTAGAATTTGATATTATAATTATAAAATTACGTAAAACGACAATATATTTTTATTTCACATTTTTTTTAAATTACATAAATTTATCATGTTAAATATATGAAATAGTAAATTTAGGTCGGGTTCTGAGAAGTAGAGTTAAGTTGAGAAGTGAAAGAAGAAACTTTCATCGTTGGATGCATATTAGGATGATATGCATCGAGATGAGATGATTTATGAGTGAGTTTAAGATTAAAGGTAATCAAGGGTCCAGATCCATTTTTACATTTCTCAATTTAATTCTCACTCTCACACGATTTTTCGCTTAGTAAATTTATGGTTCTAAATAATTCATTGCGGTCTTGTTATGGCGCGCTATGATATCAGCACTTGATTTTGCGGCCACGTTAACCCCTGTGACTTCACTCTAAGGGGTCGTTTACCCAAACACTTATCCGATAAACGCTTACCAGTAAAATTCAACACTATCACTACCTTACCGGATAAGATTTTAGTTCATCAAAATGGCATTGTATGTAACAATTTACTTAGTAAGCGCTAATTGTGGTAAGAGTCGTTGTCCTCGCTTATCGGATAAGATTCGGTCCTTGTCTTCACTTTTATCGGGTAGAATTTTTGGTACTTGTCATATTCATCCGATAAGGTAATGTGACTTGGTAAGCATTTACCTGGGTAAGCGTTTGGGAAAAAGGCTCATTTAGTCTTGGCTTCTGTTGTAGCATGTTATGCGAGGCCGATCTTAGTGTTCCTAATGCCCTGTGTTAAAATGTGATAATATGCCCCTATGTCTATGGTTTAAAAGAGTTTGGAACCTAGTCAAGTTAGAGGGTTCATCTCCACATTGTTTTTTATAAAATATCATAAAAATAATATAAAGAAGGGTCATAAGCCAAAACCCCGAGTAACAAAACTAAATATACATCACCAAAACGATGTATTCGTGCATTTTCTTTAAAGAAAAATATTTATTAATTTTTTATATTTGACATTTGTTAAAAACTTGCTTTTGATACTCAAAATGGCTAACTCGTTTATCCTTTCTTAACTTATGATGAATCATAAATATGACTTCAATAACTTTAATTTTGGAAAACTTCTTTCAATTATGGTTTTTTTTATTAACCTGGATATCCAACCCGCTAAGCGAGCCGACTAATCCCAGGACGACTACCTGCTTTGCAGATAGCCCGGAGCTACCTCATTTGAACCTCCGTGGCCATAAGGGGATTTTTATTCCTCCTTGAATTTGAACCTAGAACCTTCAGGTACTTTTAACTTTTGGAGTCAAACTCAAACCAATCAGGCACCACACTTGTGGATTTTCAATTATAGTTTAGTCCTATGCATCCGAAGGCGTAGCCAAACAACAGTGTGTTTGGAACTCCAAAGCCATAGTTTCTTTTTTAAAAAATTTAAAGCTAGTATTATGTTTTGGTGCTAACATAACAAAGCAAAATGTGAACAACAAATCAAAGGAAACAACTACAAATTAAAAAACCAACAAAAACTAAACAGTGCAAACAACAATATGTGCTATGTTTGCATATTAAATGAAGTACATATAACAAATCAACAATCTGTTACTGTGAAACGGTAAGTTATAAGTTATTTAATAACCCAAACACAGATTTCATACCTAGATACGATTAAGAATCGAAGTCACGAACCCTAAACCAAATAACCAAAGCTGATAATATGTAAAAACTTAATGCCCCTTGGGCTTGTGATGCCCATGTGTTTGTCCGAGTTGCACGTGTCTAGGGCCTGGCGTGGGGTTATGGTGCGTTATGTCGCGTTATTTTGTAAGGCATGAGTTTGTTGATTAATTTTTTGAACATATAACTAGACAGTTAAATGATAATTATGTACGATACCTAAGACTTAGATAAAATTAAAAGAAAAACGAAAACTAAAACGCTAAATAGGTAAATCCTTACCCTCATGCTCGTGCATAGAGAGTCAAATAGGAATTCTTTGAAAATTGAAGAAAATAGTGAGTAGAAACTTGAGAGATTTAATCCCAAATTTACACTCTTGATATCATTTTCTTATAAGTTTGATACATTTGATATAAATGAATTTTCTTTCCTTGTTAGTTTTATAGCTTTATATGAATTTGAATTGTTTTGTGGGATTGTTCAAAACACTAAGACACACAATGTGTGTGTGTGTGTGTGTATATATATATATATATATATGCATACAAATATGTATGCATATGCCGCCTTAGGGCACGTCTTGAAAAGCACAGTAGTCTCACCATAACTCGTAAGTCTTGAGGCTTGACCTCATTGTCACGCTACACTTCATGTCATTTAGAACCTTGAGTAAATTACATTTTTGGTCCTTGTGGTAGTCACTTACTATCAATTTTGTCTCTATCTTAAACTAATTACATTTTTAGTTACTGTAATTGTCATGTTGTTACACTTTTTGTTCTTATGATTAACTCTCGTTAAAAAAATTGTTAACCCAGAGGCCTTTGATCTTTTTACATTTACTTACTTCATTTTTCATTAAAAAAAATAAATATATATACATATATTACATTACATTATATTATATAATATCATACCAATGTCTATCTAACGAATTCCACGGCGATCTCCATTCCAGTGATTTGCGGCCACCACCAATCATCTCCTTCCCATGGTGCATCATCAATATTGAAGATTCATTGCATACCAACGAACACCATCCATCTCCCCAAGCTTCTCTTCATATCGCTAAGCTCCATCAGCGACCACCACCATTAATGACCTCCGCCATCCACTCCATTCACCATTGATGACCTCCCCATATTCCCCATTTCCCGTTCTATTTTAGTAGGATTTGATTTAATCTTTTATTTAAGATTTGATTTTTGGTTTGATTTAGTGATTGAATTCAAAATTTTAAATTAGAACTTTGCTTTTATTTTTTT